AAATATGAGATAGTGACTGGATTGTGATTTTATTTGCGCTCAAACGATCTTTTCGAGTAGTAAATAGTGAGGAACATTTTCCCCCAAATAAAGCTCTATTTTTCGCCGCCGCATGCGCTCGGGTATGTACCCTATCCCTGTGCCCAGGGACAGTACATCTGGGGATTACATCCCGTGGCCCAACACCCAGTTTTAGGTAGGATAGTGGGGGAAAAATGTGGCACACTTGGCATGGATAGACCACGGGCATCAGTGGATGGTTTTAGTGGGGATGGTGGGTGGCCCCGCCATGCTTGACCACCAGGCCACGCTGGGCCCCCACGCTCCCTTTTTTCGCCCTTTAAAGGGACAAAGGGGAGCGCCACCACCAACCCACCACAACCACAACCACAACCCGAAACAACCACCTTTTAATACCCGTATCCACCAAAAAAACCCTTAATGTGGGTTTGGGCCCAGCAAAATCCCAATTTTTTTTTCCCAAGCCTCACCATTTTTAAAAGACTCTCAAAGGGGAAATTCTACCTATTTTGTCCCCCTTGGGAACCAGGGCCAATGAACTGGATTCTTGAAAAATTCCTTTGACCACCATTAAATTAAAATTTTTGTAAAGGGAAAGAAATAAGAATTTTTTGATACCCCCATGGAAAATTACAAATTTTTATAAACCACATTCAAGACTACACAGGTAAAAAGAGACGACTTTTTGAGAAATGTATTTTTTTTTTGGCAACAATAATGTTTATGCCTCACGTCAATAAGCAAAAAATAAAAGCATAAATGGGGCCACAGATCGCTAATTTCTAAAACCCGGCCCTTTAGTGAAATCATACCAGTGAACAAAGGGTTTTTCTTACTCTTTACGTATGTTGCACTTCTTCCCGACAAAAACCCGGCCCGACAAATGACAGGGTTTTACAAATTAGAAATGTTTTTTATGTAACTCAAACAAAAGTTCGCAAATACTTTTTTTCCTTCAAGAATTTTTGTAATTGAAAGAGTCCTTTTATTTTGTTCAAAGGGAGACTGTTTATTCAAAGCCAAATAAAAACTACCAAGCAAAAAAACCTTTGGGGATAAAACTGTTTTTACTCTGGGGATTGTGACAGTGGGCCCGGGGGTTTGGGATATTGTTGTATACATGGGGAGTAAAACACGAAAGATTTCCAAATGTTAATTTGGGGATCTCAGGGGGACTTTGTGAGAAAAAAAGAAGGCACCTTTTTCTTGGTAAGGGGCATCCCTTATAAACCGATAACTGGGACACAAGCCATTCCAGTGATTTATGCGAGTGAACAAGACAGATGGGTGTGGCACAGTTTTTTTTTTTAAACGTAAACATAAAGCCCAGGCTCAACGCAGGGGCTCATTGGGGATGAAATGCAGGGTTTTACCTTTCCAATGACAAACATTTCCATTTTTCGGTTGGGAAAAAAAGACAAACGAGATGTCACAAAAATTGACCCAAACCCTTCACCGGGAATGAAATCAAGACAGTGGCAAAGTTTATTTGAGGCCCAATGAAAAGAAATTTGAAAACCATTTACAGTGAATTTATTAAAACCCCCAAAAAAACCTTGGTTTTCAAATGTGGGCATGCAAATGGTTTTGTGAATTGTTCGTAAGAGTTTCAAGTTTACATGAAACTTTTTTTCCATCTTTAAAGGACATTTCAAAAGCTCAATGCATATAATAAAATTTTTTCCCCAAATAAAAAAACTGGCAACAGACCACCATATGGGGGAATTGTCTGTTTTTCGACAACCAAATAAGTACCAAGTAACAACACCTGCATACAACACGGTCCTCCCAATTTCCCCAGGGTATACCCAAGCTTTGAGGAGGGAAGGTGATCATTTTTAAAATACAAAATTCCTTTAACTCAGAAGAAATTTTTCTCAGAAAGATCATCGTCTGTGGGGACCCAAAAAAAACGGGCGGCAACAAAGACGCAAAGACACTTTGGTTTTATGTGTGAGGAATGTAAGGTCCTCTGTCATGGGCCCTTTTTTTCAAGGAGTTCCCCAAGCCCAGCAGTTCAAAAACCATGTCCAGTGATTTTTAAATATTTTAAAAAAATTTATAGAACAATTTGTATTAAACAATTTTTGTGCATTTTATTTTAATAAACAACATTGGGAAACAATAATATGATAATAACTTTAGTGCAGTTATTGTGTTCAATACAGCGAGTTTATATATATACATTATATACAGTATTGGTCTCTCAGGCCCCAAATGTTAGTAGGAATAGAAAAAAATTGGAAAAGAAAAGAAAAAACAACAAAAACCGCAAAATAATGTAATGCGCGTATGTGGAATTCGTCGATGTTGCCGCCACCACATCATTTTTGACAAACTTCTTGGCACTGTATCTCTGTAAGTACTGATCAGAATTTTTTTTTTTGTCTTATTACCTTCACAAAAATATGCTCTTTAATTCTGTAAGAAAAAATAATTTTTTTTTTTTTTCAAAATTTCTTGGACACTGGAGCACCACTTCAGATTTTGGCCTTGGACCCTGAAGGGGTTAAAGGAGGGGTTTGGGATATTGGCAGTTTGGGGAAAAAAAAAAAATAATAATAATGTACTGTAATAATAATAATAGACGGCTTCAAAAGGCCATCACTAGATGGCAGTGAATACACAACAATGCGGGAGCGGTTATGGCTGCCTCCACTTTGTCACATGACATTTTATTCATTCTAGAGTACACATCAGGTTTTTATGTTAAGTTGTTTATTATGTCATATTAGATCAATTGTGATAGATAAGTAAGCCGTAGAGTTGATATTAGCACTATATTGAAGTGTATTTTTCCTGCCTCTGAGAGCAGGAATTCTGCCGGAACAGATTAATGGATTTTCAATTAATTTAAATGAGGAAAATTGACTCAGCATACGAACACATCAGGATACGAACAAAATCACAGAACGGATCAAGTTCGTAAGCCAAGGTTCCACTGTATTTTCTCCTGCCTCCCGAGAGCAGGAATTCCGCTGGAACAGATTAATGACATTTTAATTAATTTCAACGAGGAAAACTGATCTGATATACAAGCAAATTGAATTACGAGCTAGGTCACAGAACGGATTACATGTAAACTCGTAGGTCAAGGTATCACTGTATTTTACTTTTTCAAGCAACTTTTGTGGCCTGTAAGACCAATATAATGAAAAATGTATATATATCCACTCATTGTATGCAACAAATAACCGCACAAACATTGTTATCGTTATATTGTTTACAAAACATGTTTACACAAACCCATGCAGCCTTCTCCATGACCCACGCTGCCTTCCCCACCACCCACATTGAAATAAGTTGCTTGGGAAGAGTCCCAATTCACCAGGGAGTGAGATAGTCCTTACCGCTAGGCATAGGTGAACAAGGCATACTGAATTAGCACTCCCACAATGCACTGCAGCCTCCCCGATTTTTTTATACTGCGGACACTGACCACACAGACCCATTCTCTCACATGTAGGTCTACCAGCTTTCTCCTGCTACATTTGAAGCCACTAGAATTCTGGCATATTAATACATCAACACTGGCTTGTAAACCGTATCTATACGTCACCAACAGTGAAAGGGTTAATAATCAGATTCTGGAGCTTGATTTGCTCCAGAATGTCTTCATTACATGCAAGAAAATTGCATTGTACAATCATACGTGGAAGGATAATAGATCCACAGCAAGAATTAAGATAGATGTCTTGCAAATCATAACTGGTGTGTTGTCAACAATGTCAAGAAGTAAAAGATTATGTGCCTACTCTGCATTTTGTACTATGACAACATATGTACCACTCTTAAAAACATGAAATGTTCTGCCCAACATGGCAGAGGAGTACCATACTGATGCTGTGGTTGGAAAGACAGTCAGTAAAAGAAGTTGGTTGGAGTGTAAAGAATTTTGTCCAAGTACTTTGGAACTGAGCATAAGGGAAGGAACTGCTTAATTTTAAGTTTCTTAGAAGTGAGAGAGGAAACTGAAGTAGGATCATCGGTAACAGGTCCAGGTTGTTTGGACAGGTTAGATAGAGGTGGGCCGGTCTGAGTCATGCGTACGATCCGAAAATCGACACACTGCATATGAAGCCATTATCATAGTCAAAGCCGCACAGAAGTCATTAGTGTCTAAAGGGTCAGTCGGAACCGCAGTACCAGAGGGTAACGAAACGTTACCCAGAGAAGGCACCAGGTTAGAAGATACGTAGGTCCAAAGAATGGTCTGAAGATGTGCCAGGGTATGTAGAGTGCGCTGCAGGAAAGGGTCCAAGAAGACAGGTCATGGGTCTCCATGATAAGTTTCCCCTGTATTTGATTTATTTAAAAAAAAGGGGGGTGGGGGGATGTGGAAAGTGCTCCGAGGAGGAATGAAAGGGATTGTATATCCACTTCCATGCCCAAGAGGGCTGCCAGTGCAGCCAGCAGTGTAGATACGGCATGAAACCCATGCCCTACCCTACCCTTCATGTCAGTAAACCAGCAATCCAGGATAACTTCACATCCACCAAGCCACCTCAGCGGACAAAAAGAGAGGGCGGCCGAAAACCCACAAAGCATACCTCCTTCAGCCACCACTTCCCAGAACCAACAGGCAGCCTCCAGAGATACACTTGTCACCCGAAGGACATCGTACGCTGCCTCCCAGAACTCAGGAGGGAACATCCTCAGATGATCCAGATTCCATGGCAAACTACACCACCATCCAGGACCTCAATAAAATAGGATGGACAATGACACCCTGTCCCCAACCTAGGAGCAAGAATTTCAGAGGGGAAGACCCCAAAGGCCAAAAGCAGGAAAGGATGGGGAAAGGAGGGAGGAGAAGGATGGGGTATTGAAGGAAAAAACAGGGGTAATTAGGTTCGGTCAGAGGATTTAGTCTGAAAGGTCCAACTCCCAAAACCAAATGCCTCTTCACTGCTTCAAGGACCCCCCCCCCCCCCTTGAAGAGGCCAGCCCTCCAAAAATGGGAAAACAAAATCATACAAGACAATCATCTTTTTATTTTTCCCAACACAGTGTTTAAATACTGTCCTCACTATAAAGTCAAATGCCATAAGTTGTTTGTGCACACTAAAATCTACAAACAATGTTAAAATGTAAAGTTTGATTTTATTACTAAATTTATTAGAGAAATTATTTTATAAACCAGCTCAATTAACTCTAGAAAAAGATTTTAGCCAGATATTGTACACTTTTAAATGGCACTGAACAAAGTTTTTAGTTTTGTGCTGGTTTTGCTATTAAATACAATATATACATTTTGCATGTGGCTTTTCTCATTACCTTCCAATCAAACTATGGAATGTGGCATACAACATCTGTGTTGTAGATAACTGGCTCAGAGAACAGACAAGTTGACATGTGCAATACTTGGGTATCTATTGCGGAAATATTTCGGAACAGTGGGTGAAGTCAATGTGTGGTGAAACATTTCCACAATAAAGATACCCAATTGTTGCACATGTAATTAATCAATACCTGTGTTATATACATGTACCCAATACTGCCACCAGTAACAAATTACAGTGAATGGAAACAATTACAGAAAATTTTCATGACTGTCATTTGTAATGTAATATATATGATATTTAATAAAATTTTGCCAAACATTGCATGCAAGTTCCTTTAAAGGAATATTGCAAATCCAGCAAAAACTTAAAACATTTTACATTTATTATTTGTAAAATAGACTTTTGGTTGATCCAAACATAAAAGTGGGTTTAAAACAAAATTATTTTAAATTTTAACATGTTAGAAAAGGGTTGCAGCTTTTTTTTTTGGCTGCAGAAAAAAAAATTTGTATACCACGACAAAAATTTACGTATATCAATGCAAAAAGAGAATTTTAAAAAAGGACTTTTTAATAAGGTTAACTTAACTGTTTTTTTATGTCTGCTTTTTAACCAGAGTGTAAGCAAGGAAAATTATACAAAAGTATTGTCTTAGGATGATATATTTTCATAATTTAAAATGGTAAAAAAAAATTGTGTGTTTCATTAATGCAAACTTTACAGACTTAACCTAGCAAAAATGAATATTGCAAAAAAATAGATACAAGAGAGCTCTTTTTGCACATTCTGGCTACAAAGCACAACAAACACCAACATTTACTATGGTAAATGGAGACAGTTGGTCTCTAGCTGAACCAAGGAAAACATTTCTCACCTGTTTGTAGTGAAGACAAAAATAATACATGTATATATGTAAGTGGTGTTCCAGAAAATAAGAAATTCTTCAAGAAGAAAATATATCCTGTAAACAGGATAAAGAGTGATACTTCATAAAATGGCCAAGAGAACTGATCATATTTAGTTTATTACTGGCAAGACAGAAATAATGAAATGTCACTAAACTGGGAAATATAACTTTGAAAATTATATTAGTACAGTAATATGCTTCCTAAAATGATTTAAGGCTAAGAAGAAAGAAAGAAGGTATACCAGAAATTAACCAAAAATAAGGAATACATAGAAAAGATCATTAAATGTTTAGAAGCTATAAATTAATCAAAGATAAAAGTTTAGCACACTACATGATATAATGCGCAAATATTACATACGGTTGGACGGAGTCCAACTATATTTGATTAATTGCATCTCTAAGTAACTCAAAAACTTACAAACTTCTTCCAAGACAGGTCATTTGGGAGTTTTATCTCGCTCAGGAACCTAACTCCTTTAAAGATGTGTGCAAAGACTATGAAAGCACTCTGGTACTTCTGTTGCAGTGAGTTGGCAATTTCCCACAAAGCCACAGTGACACCCCATAAAAAAAAAAAAAAAAAAAACACATTCATCATTCATTCCCCAGCTGTCTCTGTCTTTGCTGAGGTTCAGATACCATGACCCAATAATTTATTGAACCACATCACCACATATCCTTCAGACTGCAAGAACCATATTTCCCACCACCAAAATTCAACCATGACTAAGTAGTTTTTCCCGAATCCCTTAATAGATGTTAATGAGCTTGTATTCCAACAGGAAACCAAATTCCAAAAGCTATTTTTCTCTCCTGTGGTCCAAGATCCTCACACATACTAGATACTCAAGTTCTTAGCCTCTTAAAAACCTCCTGTGTCAAACCTTCCTCTGATACTCCCTGGAACACCTTCTATTCACCATAGATTCATATATCCTCCTAATGTATCAGTCTCCAGCTTTCCTGGATAACCAAACAATTTCTGGACTTTGTCCATAATAACTGTCCAGTACTCTGCAGAATCAAGGGACCCAGTCCAATGATTCCAAACTTGATCCGATCATAAAAAAATAAATCTCATAATTCAGAATTTTCAGACAGCTGAGAATAATGCATACACACTTAACCCCTTTTAGTCCATTAAATTGAGGGTTCACTGTACTCTAGTACATTTCCATTTCAGCATCCATTGACAATATTCTTTCCATGAACTGAACACTTCGCTACTTTCTTTTGTCCATCTGTTCTGCAATTCCTTGTCATTCACAAAAATATCTACTTTTGCATCATTTCCACACCATATTCCTTCCTCTATACATCCTATTTTCTAACATCTAAATAACAAAATGACTTCCTCCATACTCCCTTCTTCCTAACACTGCCTTTCTCTCTGATCTCAGAGAGCAACTGACAACTCCCACTTCACACGAGATTCATCATGGTTTACTGCCACAACTCAGCCCAATACACCAGTGCTCATTCTCCACCACTTGTTCTGAATGACTTATGTAAGTGTTGTGTCACAATAATATGTAGCATTTACTTCTTTTAATATGCTCATTAATAAAGACACCAAAGTGATATTACACATCCCTGGAAATTACATATCCTGGAAATTAGTTCTTTCCTACATACTTTAACCTCACTTTCTCCATACAAAAATTTTCACTCCAAAAAATATAGTGCAAAAATGTTAGTCCATACTGGATAAATTTAAGAATGCTGTCAATGTGTGGATTGCAAAATTATTTTTTTTATACATATCAAACTACGATTGGAATGTGACTCTGGAATGGTGTCCACACCAAAAAAAAAAAGTAAAAATAGAAAAGTTCAGACATGCAACCAACTGAATTCCAGAACTGACAGGATTGCATTAAAATATCTAACAGTGGATATAAATAATAACCAGATATAATAACTACCACACAATGCTTATAAAAGTATTTGTATAATAGTAAATATTAAATATATCATATATAGAATGGTAAATGATTGGAATTAAAACAGGAATAATACACCAAAAAACCACTGGGACTTGTATAGTTAAGAATTAACATAAAAGATATGACACCAAGAACACAAGCTGTATTCCCTTAACTACAAATAGGTAAATATGTATATATAGTGTAGACAGTATAATTTCTGTGAGCAAGAGCAGTAAACATCTTCCTCTGGTCAACTTAAGCATTATCACTGTGGTAGACCATTAATTAGCAGCTTGGTTATAATCTCTAGCAACAGTACAAGGAATGTCAAGACAAGCTTTGTGCCATTAAGTGTGCCAACTCATTATTTAGAGAATTAAAATAGGTAATACCTACACAGCAAATGGAATGGTGTAAGTGGTACATAAAAACATGTGAATTAGGGTGATCCAAAACTTTTATGTATGGTGATCCATTCTCCACAATGCTGCCCTTGTTCCATGTAAGGTAATTTTATGAGAAAATATGAAGCAAACAGAACAACCTTTACAGGTTGCTATGAGCACAATTATTATAATCAAAACTAAGTGCTAAATTACTATGAGCACAAGATTTTATGCTTAGGGTGGTAAAAAGAAAAAAAAATTTTGTTTTTTTACACAACTCAAAAAAAATTATACCTCAAATGAAAATTAAAATGTTAGTTACAAACTCTTGATGTACATAATATAACAAACAATGTTACACTTGGAGATGAATGGCACAAAGGCCAACAAGTTGTGAAGACAATTGCATAGGATCTATAGCGAGACATTTCAGCCGTCATCAAACTTCTTGAGACTGAAAGTTGTCAACAGGCAAAACATCTCAAACTTCCTCTGTAATTGTGTCTTCTACACCAGTAATTACCTTTATTACCATCAGTCATTATCAGCATGGTGATTATTTAATAATTATGGTAAGGTATATTAAACAAGAAGTACTCTGTGTGTGGGTCTTATAGTTGTGCATCAGAAGGAAGGCAAGTCAGTAGGGCCTTGACGAGTGGAAGGTTACTTCATGTGTAACATTAGGCACAGTTGGTGCAATAAATTATAGTAGTTTCACTTAAAAAATCAGTTTCTGTACTGAAGGTGGGACTTTCATAGTAGTAGCAGTTATGTAACACATCAGGGCAATTTAGATACCAAAAAGTGAAGTCTGCTTGCTCTCTCATAAGACAGTACATTCAAAGAGTTTCCTGTGCAGATATACCGTCTCATCATCCTTCATGAACCTGAAACTTTGTGGATGAGGGGGCTTTGCCTTATTCTGCACAATCATTTATCATCATTTGGCTGACCACCTGTGTTTTTACAACAGTCAGATCCATTGTCCACTAATGTGACTAGCATAGATAATGCTAGTCTTTGTTTTTCTTCACAACATCAAAAATTTTAAACTGTATGCAGTATGATGAAAACAGTCAAAGGTTTTAATACATGAATGTTTACCCAAGTCTTGAGGGTCATTGGCTTCATTGAACACTTTAGAATGTTGACCATCTTGAAAGTGGCCTCAAGATCAACACCATTTAATGGCTCATGAAGAATCATTGGTGGCTATAAAAGATCTTTGCTGTACTGCTAATGACTGATCAACCTTTGTCATACAGCAGTTTATCATATGTATCTACTTGACACATTATTATCGTATCCTATATTTATTTTATCTCTATCACGTCATTGTTAGCCAGATCAAAAATCTTGGCATATTCCATGAGGTCTGTCTGTCTGTCTCTCTGTGTCTGTCTGTCTGTCTCTGTCTGTCTCTCTCTCTCTCTCATGTAACATATGTTGGCCTCTCTGCCTCCCTCCTCCTCTCTCCATCCCCCCCTCTTTCTCTCTCTCTCTCTTTATAATTTACTCTTCCATAGCCCTGTGAGTGTTTAGTCTCACGAGCCTCACTGTTCCCCAGGTCCTCTCTGAGGCACAAGCACACGTCTTCAGTAAATTTACTTCTAACAGAAGCCTTGCCTTCAAGTCTTCTTCTCCAATAACATTAAACTTAAGTGATTTACTCTCATACTACTTATTTCATATTAAAAAAAATTCCTTTAAGAGATACCACCCAGTCTATTTTTATATGAATACAGGTATTCTGTACTGTTACATGTCAATGAATAAAGCATCTGTTCATTAATCACTCATGTTAGTATAACAGAAACATCACAGTGAAATTAAAGCAAATACAACAGATACTGTATTAGAAACTAAAAGTAGAACCTGTAACACTTGTCAGTTATACAATAGTTTTTATTTTCATTTACTTGCTCTCATTACAAATTTAAATAAGAAAACTGATGTCTTTTAAACAGTCAAATTTAGCTATATACAGTCCTGGTGGATAATGGAACAAAGGCAACACTGAGAGAATTTTTTTTAGTTTAACTTCCCCTTATGAAATGGACTGCCCTAATATAAACAGAAGAATTTTTATAAAGTACATTTTTTTTGTAATAAACCTGCTCTACACCAAAGCTTAGAGTGACAAAAAAAAGTCCTATCATATACCAAAATTTGATTAACCAAAAATGTATAAATACATCAACTTACCAACTATTTCCCATGATGATAAAATATGAAAAAATAAGAGAAACCAGTGTACTTGATTTGATGTTAGCAGTACAGTAGATAGGACAGGCAAGATTATATAAAGCAAGAATAATATGTGAATGGCACTCAAGAATCCTTGAGTGCTGTGGAATGGCTAGAACTCAGCATTTCATTCCTGTAATGACAAATATATATCAAGAGCTACCTTATCAAATAGGCTGCCATGGCACTCTTAAAACCGGTCTGAAGAGCTACACTTCTCTAGTACACTTTCATAAGATGCTTCAGACATGTCTGTAGCCTGAATACATTTGCCAATACCTTCAAGAGCTTCTTTGAGGTAATTAAAGCTGGTTGAGTAAAGCATTTTGGTTTTAATCCTGGCAGTATCTGGGCACCAAGACATCAAAATCAACTTGTTCTTCTTTGTATCCGAGGTTCCTTGGAAAGTGTGCTCATATTCAAAATCATAAACACAATACCGACACTGGTCTGGACCCAGGCTCCTGAGATAGTTTAGGAAGTCCTCGTACTCTGCATCTCTCTCACCATACTGCTCAACATCTATCTCCTTATCATTCTTAATATGAAAAATTAGATACCTATATTTCATTCCAGTTTTAATATCAGCATAAGCCTGCTGAATGCCATCGGCTACTGTCACCCCTGATGCCATGTTGGCTTAGTCAGCCTAAACAACAACAGAATGTAACAGTTACTAGATAATGAAGAGTTTTCTTAAGATGAAGGAACAGCACTCCTGTTAATTTTTTATATCCTGATGGTCTCTAGCTTGCACTACGATAAGCAGCTTCTCATCTCAATCCTTTATCTTCAGTCGTCACAGCTTACACTCACTTCTCTTGCTGACAAGCGTCTTAAACACCACGTACAGTATAACCCTAAAAAGAAAAAAAATAGTTGCAGTAATTTATTACAATGAAGAAAATTTAATAAATAAAATCATAGCTGGAACAATTCACAACTGTCCCATAATTTAGAAAGAAATTTTTATACTTGACTATTACATCACAAATAAGAGAAATAGGTTAAAAACTGGGAAGGTGTACAGGCAGAAGACAGCCTTAACCTTGCAGAATTTTACACAAAAAGAATTAGAATCCGAGGTAATCAATCCCCCAGACTGGAAGCCAGTTTTTAGTACCTTAGTGTACTGACTTACTTCCACTAGTGGGTCCCACCCACCTGTGACGTGACGTCAAATGTTGCACCTCATTTAATGCCAGTGTATAAGAGGGAATCAAATTCAAAATGGGAATTGACACAGTTACTTTTTGCTGATGATACTGTGCTTATGGGAGATTCTAAAGAAAAATTGCAAAGGTTAGTGGATGAGTTTGGGAATGTGTGTAAAGGTAGAAAGTTGAAAGTGAACACAGAAAAGAGTAAGGTGATGAGGGTGTCAAATTATTTAGATAAAGAAAAATTGGATATCAAATTGGGGAGGAGGAGTATGGAAGAAGTGAATGTTTTCAGATACTTGGGAGTTGACGTGTCGGCGGATGGATTTATGAAGGATGAGGTTAATCATAGAATTGATGAGGGAAAAAAGGTGAGTGGTGCGTTGAGGTATATGTGGAGTCAAAAAACGTTATCTATGGAGGCAAAGAAGGGAATGTATGAAAGTATATTAGTACCAACACTCTTATATGGGTGTGAAGCTTGGGAGGCAAATGCAGCAGCGAGGAGACGGTTGGAGGCAGTGGAGATGTCCTGTTTAAGGGCAATGTGTGGTGTAAATATTATGCAGAAAATTTGGAGTGTGGAAATTATGAAAAGGTGTGGAGTTAATAAAAGTATTAGTCAGAGGGCAGAAGAGGGGTTGTTGAGGTGGTTTGGTCATTTAGAGAGAATGGATCAAAGTAGAATGACGTGGAAAGCATATAAATCTATAGGGGAAGGAAGGCGGGGTAGGGGTCGTCCTCGAAAGGGTTCGAGAGAGGGGGTAAAGGAGGTTTTGTGGGCAAGGGGCTTGGACTTCCAGCAAGCGTGCGTGAGCGTGTTAGATAGGAGTGAATGGAGACGAATGGTACTTGGGACCTGACGATCTGTTGGAGTGTGAGCAGGGTAATATTTAGTGAAGGGATTCAGGGAAACCAGTTATTTTCATATAGTCGGACTTGAGTCCTGGAAATGGGAAGTACAATGCCTGCACTTTAAAGGAGGGGTTTGGGATATTGGCAGTTTGGAGGGATATGTTGTGTATCTTTATATGTGTATGCTTCTAAACTGTTGTATTCTGAGCACCTCTGCAAAAACAGGGATAATGTGCGAGTGTGGTGAAAGTGTTGAATGATAATGAAAGTATTTTCTTTTTGGGGATTTTCTTTCTTTTTTGAGTCACCCTGCCTCGGTGGGAGATGGCCGACTTGAAAAAAAAAAAAAAAAAAAAGTATAAGAGGCCATCTTCCTGCTATACTTTGGTTTCATCAAGACTAAGGTACTGAAGAGCAGCTTCCATGCTGAGGGAACAATTTCCTCATTTTCTACTATTCTTTGTATTAAACTGATAAAGCCAATGACTGATGAAACATCTTCAAATAAAAATACCCAGGTGTTGCATGTGTAATTCCTCATCTCTTTGGTATTGGATACCAATATTTTTAAGGATTATGTATACAAGCATATTCAATAAGAATGAAGTCTTTATAGACTTCATTCTTAGACAGTTTTAGCAGAGGACCAGCTCATGGGATGGCTACCAGTGGTACAGCCATCACAAGACCAGTCATGGGATGGCTACAGGGGTACAGCCATCACAAGACCAGCTCATGGATGGCTACCAGTGGTACAGCCATCACAAGACCAGCTCATGGATGGCTACCAGTGGTACAGCCATCACAAGACCACTCATGGGATGGCTACCAGTGGTACAGCCATCACAAGACCAGCTCATGGGATGGCTCCCAGGGGAAACAGCCATCACAAGACCAGCTCATGGGATGGCTACCAGTGGTACAGCCATCACAAGACAGCTCATGGGATGGACAGTGGTAAGCCTCACAAGCCAGCATGGGATGGCTACCAGTGGTACAGCCATCACAAAGCTCAGGGGATTGGCTACCAGTGGTACAGCCATCAACAAAACCAGCTCATGGGATGGCTACCGTGGTACGCCATCAAAGACCGTCAGGGGGATGGTACAGGGGTACAGCCATCAAGACCGCATGGGATGGCTACCAGTGGTAAAAGCCATCACAAGACCAGCTCATGGGATGGCTACCAGTGGTACAGCCATCACAAAGCCCCAGCTCATGGGATGGCTACCAGTGGTACAGCCATCACAAGACCAGCTCATGGAGGGCTACCAGGGGTACACCATCACAAGACCAGCTCATGGGATGGTACCAGTGGTACAGCCATCCCCAAGACCAGCTCATGGGATGGCTACCAGTGGTACAGCCATCACAAGACCAGCTCATGGGATGGCTACCAGTGGTACAGCCTTCACAAGACCAGCTCATGGGATGGCTACCAGTGGTACAGCCATCACAAGACCAGCTCATGGGATGGCTACCAGTGGTACAGCCATCACAAGACCAGCTCATGGATGGCTACCAGTGGTACAGCCATCACAAGACCAGCTCATGGGATGGCTACCAGTGGTACAGCCACAAAAGGACCAGCTCATGGGATGGCTACCAGTGGTACAGCCATCACAAGACCATTCATGGGATGGCTACCAGTGGTACAGCCATCACAAGACCAGCTCATGGGATGGCTACCAGTGGTAAAAGCCATCACAAGACCAGCTCATGGGAGGGCTACCAGTGGTACAGCCATCACAAGACCAGCTCATGGGATGGCTACCAGTGGTACAGCCATCAAAAGACCAGCTCATGGGATGGCTACCAGTGTCCCAGCCATCAAAAGGGACCAGCTCAGGGGTGGCTCCCAGTGGTAAAGCCATCACAAGACCAGCTCATGGGATGGCTACCAGGGGTTTACAGCCATCACAAGACCAGCTCATGGATGGCAAACCAGTGGTAAACCCATCACAAGACCAGCTCATGGGATGGCTACCAGTGGGTACAGCCATCACAAGACCAGCTCATGGGATGGCTACCAGTGGTACAGCCATCAAAAGACCAGCTCATGGGGATGGCTACCAGTGGTACAGCCTTTCACAAGACCAGTTTCATGGGATGGCTACCAGGGGTACAGCCATCACAAGACCAGCTCATGGGATGGCTACCATGGTACAGCCATCACAAGACCAGCTCAGGGGATGGCTACCAGTGGTACAGCCATCACAAGACAACCCTCATGGGATGGCTACCAGTGGTACACCATCACAAGACCAGCTCATGGGATGGCAAACCAGTGGTACAGCCATCACAAGACCGCTCATGGGATGGCTACCAGTGGTACAGCCATCACAAAAACCAAAGCTCATGGGATGGCTACCAGTGGTACAGCCATCACAAGACCAGCTCATGGGATGGCTACCATTGGTACAGCATCACAAGACCAGCTCATGGGATGGCTACCAGGGTACAGCCATCACAAGACCAGCTCATGGGATGGCTAACCAGTGGTACAGCCATCAAAAGACCGCTAGGGATGGTACCAGGTACCCATCACAAGACCAGCTCATGGGATGGCTACCAGTGGTAAAAAGCCATCACAAGACCAGCTCATGGATGGCTAACCAGTGGTACAGCCTCACAAGACCCAGTCTCATGGGATGGCTACCAGGGGTACAGCCATCACAAGACCAGCTCAGGGGAGGGGCTACCAGTGGTACAGCCATCACAAGACCAGCTCATGGATGGCTACCAGTGGTACAGCCATCACAAGACCAGCTCATGGGATGGCTACCAGTGGTACAGCCATCACAAGACCAGCTCATGGGATGGCTACCAGTGGTAAACAGCCACCCACAAGACCAGCTCATGGGATGGCTACCAGTGGTACAGCCATCACAAGACCAGCTCATGGGAAATGGCTACCAGTGGTACGGGCCATCACAAGCCGTCATGGATGGCTAAAGTGGTTACAGCCATCACAAGACCAGCTCAGGGATGGCTACCATGGTACAGCCATCACAAGACCACGCTCCTGGGATGGCTACCAGTGGTACACCCAGCACAAGACCAGCTCATTGGATGGTACCAGGGGAAACAGCCATCACAAGACCAGCTCATGGGATGGCTACCAGTGGTACAGCCATCACAAGACCAGCTCATGGGATGGCTAACCAGTGGTAAAAGCCATCACAAGGACCCAGCTCATGGGATGGCTACCAGTGGTACAGCCATCACAAGACCAGCTCATGGGATGGCTACCAGGGGTTTACGCCATCACAAGACCAGCTCATGGGATGGCTACCGTGGTAAAAGCCATCCCCAAACAGCTCCATGGGATGGTTTACCAGTGGTACAGCCATCAAAAGACCAGCTCATGGGATGGCCACCAGTGGTACAGCCATCACAAGACCAGCTTATGGGATGGCCACCGTGGTACAGCCATCACAAGACCAGCTTATGGGATGGCCACCAGTGGTAAAAGCCATCACAAGCCCAGCTTATGGGGATGGCCACCAGTGGTACAGCCATCACAAGACCAGCTTATGGGATGGCCACCAGTGGTACAGCCATCACAAGACCAGCTTATGGGATGGCCACCAGTGGTACAGCCATCCCCAAGACCAGCTTATGGGATGGCCACCAGTGGTACAGCCATCACAAGCCCAGCTTATGGGATGGCTACCAGTGGTACAGCCATCACAAGACCAGCTTATGGGATGGCTCCCAGTGGTACAGCCATCACAAGACCAGCTTTTTGGGATGGCTACCAGTGGTACAGCCATACAAGACCAGCTTATGGGATGGCTACCAGTGGTACACCCATCACAAGACCAGCTTATGGGATGGCTACC